ACAGCCCCCTCAACCCACAAGCTTGTAAACAATGACAAGCAACAGTTAAGACACATTAAAGGAAAAAAACCTCACGACTCCATTCTTAGAATCCAGCACCGACACCGACAGTGACGCGCAGGGTCACGGTGTGCCTGTCTGCTCTGGGGGCTGCTCTGCTTTTCTGGAGGTGTCTGTGCAACAGGGCGCACGCTCTGGGGTCGTGACATCTGTGCCACGCGGCGCCCCGGCCGTGCTGCCCTGCCGCGTGCGCCCCGGGCCCAGCGCAGCCCCCTCCTGCGGGGGGGTGGGTGGGACACAGCCTCCCTGACGGGCGGCAGGAGCCACGGGGGTGGGTCTGTGTGCTTTCGAGGCGCTGCCTCTGGAATGTTCCGCGCTCGGCTGCGCTGGGCGGTGGGAGTGAGTCGTGCTCCACACACTGTTTAAGGGCCCGCTCTGCTTTCATGTGCAAACTGTCACTGTCTAAAGCTTTCGGAGGATGGGTACAGACGCGAACACCCTGCGGAGAGGGGGGTCATCAGGAGTTAGGGGCCCCTCTTGATGGGGGCGGGGGTGTCACAGGAACGGCTGGAGGAACGGCGTGCTCTGCTGCGGCTGAGCGCTAGTCCCTGATGCGGTCCAGCCACGCGGTCCTCAGTAGGTGATTGTCCACTCTTTGACAGAGGCGTCGTGGGAGGTGGTGACCAGCGTGTGCTCGTCCAGCCAGGCCAGGCTGCTGACGTGGTGCAGCCGGTGTGCATCTAAGGAAAAGGAACACGCTTTTGAGAAGCCGGCCTCTCTGCTCCTACGGACACGTCGAGCTAGGAAGATGGGACGACCCGTGCCGAAACCGACGACAGGGTCCCTGGTGACGAGTCCCCGTCCCTCTCTCTCAGGACCAGAGCCGAGGATGATGGCCGTGGGAGCAGGCGTTCTCGACAGTGGCACCAGACAGCCGGGGCGCTGCCCCCTTACTCGGGCTATGAGCCTGTGACGCGAGCTGCTGCCACACGTGGAAATCACAAGTTGGGTTAAATAAAATTTACTATTAAAAATAACTTTATCTGTTTTTTTATATGTGGCTGCTAGGAAAATATAAAGTCCATGTGTGCCTCTACTGGACACCGCTGTCACAGGCAATGCAGGGCTGAAGAGGGTGGTGAGTGGGAAGGGAAGGGGCCATGGTCTGAGTGTTTGTGTCCCCCGCAAAGTTCCTAAGTTAAAAACCTAAGTTAGCTTGGGGAGACAGTATGAGAAGCGTCTTACAAGACACCAGTGTCCCAGCCCCACACCACGTGGGGACACGGAGGAGGGCCCTCCCCTGATCTCGGGTTCCAGCCTCTGGACGGTGAGCAATTGCTCCCCGCAGCTTTTCCGCGCCCCCGTCTGTGGGATTCTGTTACAGGAGCCCGAACAGACTAAGGCAGGAAGGCATGTCAAAAGCAGCCCCGGACGCAGCACTGTCCTGTGTAGAGAGACCACCGGCTCTCAGGCTCTGTGGCCAGCAGAGCCCAGGGTTGGGTGGACGAGAATGTGGTGGCCTCCCCAGAAGCAAAGAACGAACACTGGATGCTTGGGGCCAGTCTCACTGGAGCTGCGTGGGGAGCTGAGGTGGGTGCGAGAGTCACCTTGGATCTTGACCCTGGTCTCAGGGTCACTCAGGGTCCAGACGTACACCATCATGTCCATGCCGCCTGAGGCAAAATGCTCGTTGTCCGGGGACCAGGCCAGGCAGACAATCTTCGCGTGGTGTCCGTAAAAGACGTTGTTCTCCTAGCCGTGGGTGGACACAGAGGCAGCAGGTCAGGCCCAGCCAGGGCCGGGCATCGTCCCCTCCGTCCCCTCGCCCCACGGTGACGAGGGGCAGGCAACCTCAGCCTCGCCGTGAGAACACCGCGAGGTGCCTGCTGCTCAGAGGTGAAGCCCAGCATCCCCTCAGGATGCCCTCAATCACAGCACGTGTCCTGCTCGCCCTCCACAGAGCTCTCCAGCGAAGGGACAGGCAGAAATGCCGGAGGAGAGGAACACAAAGCACGCGGTCCCCAGACGGCGCCCCTCCACCGTGCAGTCGAGGCGGCCGGCTGAGCCACTGGCTCCGCATGCGGCCACTCCCCAGGGCGTGTCCCAGCCCTGAAACCCTGCCCACCTCGGGGCCTCCAACACTTCGAGAACGGTTGTCTCAGTCCCTAAAGTCACTTCACCCACGATTTTCTTTCCATGCCCTTTGCTGACTCTGCTTCTGTAGGTTACTCAGGACGTCTTAAATGAGGCTCGCTACGCGCAATGAAATCGCTCACACCGGCATCGCGGTGCCAGGCAGAAGGGCGCCCTGGGGTGGGGGGCGCTTCGTCCCGACGGGGGTGTGGGTTATAGAAGAGCACCCGCTACGCGCATTTTTCTCCATGTCCACCTTTTGTCATATGTAAACTTTACAGCAAAAGATAAAACTAAAAAATGGTTAAACCCTAGTTAACAATTTGTAAGCTGAGACATTTAAAGGAAAATTATACGCACCAAAAACTGAATTACTGAATGGATGGACAACGTGACGTGGTAAAATGTTAGTAGGAGTCTAGCTAGTAAATTATGTCAACTCTGCGGCAGATTTTGAAACTGTCCTGAGTTGAGGGTGAGGGCTGGCTGGCGGTGGGAGGGCCCACCAGGGACAGGAGACCCTGCACTGTCCAGCGCTGCCTGCTCTGGTCACACCAGCAAAGGACCGAATCCCTCCAAGGCACAGTCTCTCCTTTGTGACGCCGCCTAGGACACAGTTCTGATGGCAGGACAGGAGCTCTCACCCTCACTCGAGAGGTGCTCTTGCTGTTCCCTGTACTCTGTTCTGTGAAGCAGGACGAGCTCCCAGGTGCCCTGGCAACTGGCCCCGCCCCGCTTCCCCAAGTGCAGGGCAGCGTAGGGATGGTCAGCACCCCTCTTTACCAGACCTCAAACGGCAACGAGACAAGAGACACGCAGCCTAAGCTGACGGAGGAGAAAGAGGGTCTCGGAGGCCAGGCGTCCTCACGCAGGCTGCCCAGCTGAAACGATGAGCCCATCTTCACAGCCAGCCCCACCGCCGCCCAGGACCCTGACCTTTTGGCAACTGACCTATCGCACCAAAACCTCAAGCCCCTGGGCAGCGGGGTCTGGTCCGACGTCGTTTGTGCTCTAAGAGGAATGAAGCCACGTGGTCTTGTGCCCCTACCCAGTCGGGGACGACTGGACAGAAGCCACAGCCGCCACCCATCACCTGCACTGCCTAGCATGGGGACACAGGACAGGCCACCCACTCACCGAGTAGCCATCAGCGACGCTGAAGACCGTGACCACCTTGCTGGCGTCACACACGGCAAGGAAGGCACCGTCGTGGGAGTACGCCAAGTCAGTCACAGGGCCCTTGGCCTCCAGGAGCTTGCCCTCATCTTTCAGCGTGGTGCCCAGGATGGAGTACAGGCGGACATTCCCGTCCTGCAGAATACAGGGGCCATGAGCCACTCCCGAGAGACAGAGAGACAGAGAGACAGAGAGACAGAGAGACAGAGACAGACAGACAGACAGAAAGAGAAGGCTCGGGCCACTCAGCCATTGGCTGTCGCCTCGCCCCAGGGGCGCTTGGGTCAGGGATGCCTCTGGCCACCTCCGCCCAGCTCTCTCGGCCCCAGCCTCTGGAGGAGCGGGGCACCTCTGTGGACGCTCTCTCCCGTGCCCGGGGTACCTACCAGGGTGCTGCACCCTGGGCACCGCTATCCGGGGCAGGGACCCAGGATTTTAACCCCAGAGCCTGGCCCTCGCAGGAATGAATCAGTGAGCGGGCTAAGGGCGAGCAGACGGGATGGACCACGAGGGAGTGGGAAGTGGTGTCCCTGAAGCTGCCCAAGGCCCCCCTGGGAGGCACACCTGGGACCAGCCACGTCTCTCTGGGCAGCTGAGCATCCACATTCCACTGACAGCCCGAGTCCCCTGGCTGCATCCAGCAGTTCCTTTCCACCCACCTCACTGTCCGGGGCCCCGTGTCCCTTCACATTGCTGCACTGGCCAGGACGAGCATTGCCAGGGGCTGGGCACCCCTGGGGGCTTTGAGCGTCACCCATGAAGGCTGTCAAACGGGTGACAGGGGGTGCTCTAAACTGGTTCCCAGAAACCCAGTCCCACCTCCCTGAGGCAGTCCTACACTCACACAGCTCATGTCACCCCCAAATTCCCCAGCCACCTAGGAGAGAGGGCGTGGGGAAGAAGGGCCTTACCGTGCCCCCGACAGCCACCATGTCGCCGCTGGGGTGCACTGCCACCACCTCGGGCTCGTAGCCAGGGCTGTCGATGCTGAAGCACTTCTTCTGAT